CTTTAGGTTTGGCAGTTTTGCCTGTACACTAGCCTTGTTCTGAAGCTGGATGGAAGGAAAGGCATGTCCAAGCTGCCCCACAGAATGAGGATTCCTTTGTAGATTGCTACCAGGGTCTTTCCTCTCAATGTGCTGTTTGTGGTGGCTCTCAAATGGCATTTTGTGTTGATCTCTTAGTTGTTAACTCTTTAGCTGCAGCCCCAAACTCCTGATGTCTTGTGCCCCCTTTTTCTGGGGGTGTGTTGTATTACTTGGGGAGTAGTCAGTGTGGTTTAAGATGTATTTTCCTCTCCTTTGTATTAAGACCGTGTTACCAGCATTTACCATGAGGGTGCTCCCTAACTCACATTCCTGCAGCATTAGTCAGGTCAGCCTAGATCACTTTCCCCAGGGTTTTAAGCTGGCTTTGGCTGACACTTAGCTCATTGCACTATCAAGTCGGTTATCACCAGCTGGAGGGCAGTCACTGCTTTCATTATTCCAGCTCATTTTGCTTCTAGACATCTTGCTACATCCTGAGAGTCCAAGAAAGTTGTAGTGTACAGATCTTCTCCACTCAAAGTGAGCTGCCTCTGCTCTAAAGGCTGCAGATTGTACTAAAAACTCTCACAATAGGTTTTTGCATTTCCCTGCCTTTTCTCTCTAAGCTGGAGCCAGGTAATGAAGTAAGAGTTAGTTAAAGTTAAGACTAATATCTGAAAGCATCTGCTTTCCCGTTTTAACACCCCGTTCTGGGGGTTGTAACTTGCCTGTTCATACCCCTGGTGTGTGTGGTGTCCCAGCACTGCGACCCTTGCTTGAGTTGCTGTGCATTTGTTTGGTGGTACTTCTTTGCCCTGTGTCTAATAAAGAGCAGAGGCAACTGCTTCCCAGTGAGTCTCCTGATGGGAGCTTGGGCATTTACTAGGCCATCCCCAGCTGGAGTCAAGCTGCTTTCCCATCTGAAGAGCATGCAGGGCTGCTTGTGGCAATGCTGATAATGCTCAGGTTGGTTGGGTATTGTACTGAAGGCACCAGTGGATGTACTTTTGCTCCATTTGGCAGGATGTGGCCTCAAACTCAGATAGGCAAGAAGCTTCTTGAGGATTGAGAAAAATAGGCAGTGTGAATAGTAAAGGAAAACCTTAGAGAAAGACACAAGTGTTGTTTTCTTCCAAGGAGCAGGGAGGGAGACAACTGTCAGATCCATTCTGTCTCCAGCTAGGGAGAGCCAGAACTGGAATTCATCAGGTTTTCCCTTCAATAAATATAGCTGCTGGCTCACTGGAGCCCAGAGGCACCCCAAGCTTGAAAACTGAGCTGTGCTTTTGCTTTGAGACTTGTTTGGGCCTTTGGCCAAGTACCAGCATTTTTCCCCACAACTGCCTTTCCTGAAAGAGCAGGAGGAGGAGTGCACAGCACCCTGAGCAAGTGAGGGGGAGAATGTGTCTCTTAGTGCCCTGGGTGTTGATGAGTGGGCAGGGTGAGGCTGGGTGGAGCACTGCTCTTACTGCAGCCTGTTTCCCAGCAGCTCATCTGGATGAGATGCCAAACAGGACTTGAAAAATTAGAAAAGAGCTGCCCACAGTAGTGGTGCAAGCTAAAGACAAAAGCTGCTGTCCAGTGGATAGGTTTCTTCTGGAGGTTATTGGGGTTTTTTCTAGTCCTCCTTGCTCCTTCTCAGCCTTAGACTTCCAGGTGGCCAGGGCAGATGGTGAGGCAGGGCCTGTCTGTGCCTCAGCCGTGGTTCCTGAACTGCCAGGGCTCCTGGCAAACTGAGCTGCAGCTGGATGTTTACTCAAAGTGAGCACACAAACTGCCCTTGACAGGCATGTGTCGGGGAGTGGAAGGGCTTGCTTTGTCAAGTAGGCACTTCCCATGCTGTTGAAAAGGTCACTGGTTGTAGCTACAACTCTGAAAGTGCTTCTGATGGGAGCTGGGCAAGGAGGGACAATTCTCATCACTCTTGGGTAGATAAGCATCAAGTTTTCTGTCCCAAAAATAAAAAAGATCTGGGTTTTATCAGCTCCATGCCAGAGAGGGTAGAAGGCAGACTGTGGTGGGTGGAGTGGCTTATGCACATACCATTTATTAATATGTAACTACTGCACTGAGGCAAGAAGACTGGGAATGTGGTTTGCTTGCCTTAGTGCTGTTTGCTGCACTGGGTGAAACCAGGCCATCAATCTTAAATTGTTTCCTGCAAAGCAAAAAGGCTCCTCCAGGCCAGTTGGCAGCAGCTCTGGACAACCCTTCCTACTGTCTCAAACCTCTGTGGAAGTTCTCTGCTTCGGTGTAATAAAAACACTCCTGTAGTACTTGCCATCTTAAGTAGTTAATGAAACAAAGCTGTTTAAGCAGCTGCACTGGAACACAGTTCTTCCTATAAATTGAAGCAAAGCAAAAACCATTATTCTAGCCAGTCCTGTAGGTTAAAACAGGTTATTGTGGCCTTCTGAGTTGGCTATGAACACCATTGTAAGGCAAGTGAAGTATCTTCTTGCCATCTTCATAGAAATCAGCTGCATCCTGTAGTTCCTGCCCAAAATGCCAGGTTGTGTGTAATGACTTTCTGTGAAGGTTACTGGTCATGTCAGGAAATTACAGGAACAAAATTAATGGCTGGCTGTGTGAGGACTGGAGGCAAGTACCGTCTCCAAGCTCTCATCAGGAGAGGGGATTTAGATTGTTGGGTACTAGGCATGTTCTTCTGCTTGCTGGAAGCATTCCTACTTGACCTTTGCTTTTGGTGACATTGAAAGAGCATCTCGCTCTGAGATGAGAGATGGAGAAGCCTCACCTGCTGCAGTGGCTTTGAGGATGACTTTGAAGCAGCTTTTGGGCCCTGCTAAAATGTAGCTGCTTATAATTTTTAAGGCTGTTACTGAGCTGGTAACCCCACCAGGTCTCCTGAGCTGGCATGGTCTGCTTTGCCTGTGCTCTTGGTGGCTGTTCTTAAGGATGCTTAGCTCTGGATACAAGGTTTTTTATAAAAGACAGGGAAGTTCTTTTAAAATAAGTTTCAATTATCCCTGTTCCTTATTCCCTTTCTGCCCAGCCTTATTTTCTGGTGCTTTGCAGTCTGAGACATCAGGTACATTTTTGGTTACTGGAGGTGGCTGATCCTCTGTTTTTAGCCCTGGGTATATCATGTGATTTCCATTAATGGGACCATGTTGCAAAGGTTTCCTGAGAATTTCTGGTGAGGTATCTGGTTGTGTCAAGTCCTGGAAACTAACTCCTGCCCTGCACTGAGCCAGGGGCAGCCAGGGAGCAACATAAATCTGTGTGAGCCTGTGGAAGGCCTCAGTTCAGAGCTGCCTGACTGTGGTTTGGTGTGACCAGTTTTCTCGTCCTTAGAAAAGGCAGTTGTGGGTGGTATTGATCAGTGTTGTGTGTCGTCTGGTAGCAGTCTTTTTTTTTTTTTTTTTTCCCCAAAATCCCAATTCCTTAGCTTGCTGTGCTCACTTGAGTGTCTCACTGTTCCCTAGTGCTGCACCGATACCGGCACATCCTGGGATTATGGCAGCCAGACATCGGGCCCTATGGGGGACTTCTGAATGTGGTGGTGAGTACCTCATTCTGGGCTGTCAAGAACTGCTGAGTCTTTTGTGTACCACTTTCCAGATCTGGTTGCCATCTCTGTGCTCTTGAGAAGTCTTGAACAGTCAGCCCTCAAGCAGTGATTGGGACCCAGAGTTTGCTGCTTGGATCTTTTCATCATCCCCTTGTTGCAACAGTCCTTTTGTGTTTCATCTGTGCTCCAGACAGCCTCAGGGGCAGACAGAAACCATGAGCAATGCTTCAGGAAAAGGCTTAATTTGGAGTTCAATCCTGATATTCCAGTGGCTGGCACAGGAGTCCATTCCTTGTGCAGTGAGTGCAGCAGAGGTTTCAGCATTGGCCCATCACTTACTGCCTTAACTTGGCCTGCAGCTGAATGTTTGGCAAAGGGACTGGCACTGGAGTTCACACTCCTCTTTCTCCTGTAGTGTGCCATGGTTTCTACTGGCTGTGTTTAAGACTAAAGCAATGTATATGAATATCTGAAGGGTGAGCATCAAGAAGAAGGGGCCAGTATCTTTTCAGTCAGGCCCTGTGATAGGACAAGGGGCAATGGATGTAAACTAGGACACAAAGATCCATGTCAATGTGAGGAAAAACATCTTACTGTAAAGGTAACAGAGCACTGGGACAGTCTTCCCTGAGAGATTATGGAGTCGCCTTCTTTGGAGACTTTCAAGACCTGTCTGGATGCATTTCTGAATGACCTGCCCTAGGTGGTCCTGCTCTGGCAGGAGGGTTGGACTCGATTTCCAGGAGTCCCTTCCAACCCCTACCATTCTATGATTCTGTGATCAGATGTGGGGATACTGGTGGAGTCTGGCAGCTCTTGTGCTGCTTGGGAGAGCAGCTAATGAACAATGCTTGACTCTACATTGGTTAGAGCTGGGCCAGACATTTGCCTGAAGCCCTTGTTCTTTGCACCAGGGTTCAAAAGCTGACAGGTTGAAACGTAACAAATTGCAAGGGCTTTGGGTTTTGCAGGATCCTGTGCCACTACCTGGTGTAAGTGCATCCAAGTGCACCAATACTTACATGATACTGTGACCTTATAAAGACAAACTTGCCTTGCTGCTCTGCTTTTTTTCTCAGATCCCTCTGCTTAGAAAATGTCCTTGTTCTGGAATGGCAGGGCTTGAGGGGAAGGATTCTGTTAGGCATGCAGGAAGAGGGGCTGGCACTTGTACCTCGCAGCAGAGGGGATTGTTGCTTCCTGTGCTGTCTGTGAGTAATAGAGCCAAATAATTCCTCATCCAAAATGCACAGATAATCATGAGAAGCAGAATTCCTCTATTCAAGTATCTGCCAGCAGGAGCTCTCAAACCAATTAGAGTCTGACTAGCTGTGTGGTCTCTTCAGTGCAGTCTCTCCCTCTGGATCCTGCGCACTAAGCATCCGTCACAAAGTCGTTTGCAGTAATAAAGGCCTGATCGTTTTCCAGTGGCTCAGGAAGCCTTGTAAAGAAACCCTCTCCCTCTTCACCAAGGGTGTGCTGGGAGTACATATGGTCTGGTTTAATTGCTGGAAAGCAGTTGGAGATGCAGCAAGCTGTTGCAGGATGGGCCCTGGAGCCGTTTGCCGCAGACTCCACAGGAAGCATGCAAGGCTGAGTTGTCTGCTTTGTGTCCCCTCCTGCTGCAGGTAGATGGTTTGTTCATCATTGGGTGGATGTACTTACCACCTCATGACCCTCATGTTGATGATCCGATGAGATTCAAACCTCTCTTCAGGATTCATCTGATGGAGAGGAAATGTGCAACGGTTGAGTGTATGTATGGTCATAAGGGACCTCATAACGGCCATATCCAGGTGAGCTCCTTTAGCACTGTAACACCACCTGTCCCAGGTGCTGTGTGTGTGCAGGCATGCACGTTGGCTCTGGAAATGGGTTTGTCAAAAAGGGTGTAAGAATTTTATAGAAGAGATGAGGCTTTCACCACCTTGTTGTATGTGTGGATGCCAGCTTTACACTCATTATGTGTCTGATAAGTTGCGTGGGCTGTTCCCTGCTCTGAATTTGTTTGCTGGCAACAGTACAGCAAGGCTGTTACACTGTCTTCAGTTGGCTTGGAGCACAGTGGGAGGGTGGGAGCACCAGCATGTGTACAGGCTGGGGGAAAGATATGTAAAATGGCCTTGTGCAGCTGGTGAATGTGTCCAAGAAGACACACAGACCCATTCTGTTTTACAGCTCTCTACAATGAGACCTTGAGAAGGTGACATTGCATCCATTCTGTGCATTGCATGCTTTGAAAAGCTTCTTGAGAGGCTGTTTCTTTTTCTTTGAAGAAGGAAGCTCAAATAGGGAAACAACTTAAACTAGTATATTTCTTCAAAGTGCATTGGGGTTTTATTGCTTTTATTTCTGTGTTCTGCAGCTGATGCACTCAGTATAACTTAATGTTTTCTCTGTAGCACATTCAGTATTGTTGGTAAATCATTTCCTCTAGGCAGTCTTAGTTACATCATCCTAGGCAATCCTAGGCTGGTCTGTAACCTGTTAAATTCTTCTCCATGGTACCTGCAGATAGTAAAGAAGGATGAGTTCTCCACGAAATGCAACCAGACAGATCACCATCGGATGTCAGGGGGAAGGCAAGAGGTAAGAGTGCTTTGCCAAGACTCTGCATTAAGGCTGCTTGGATGTCCCCTTTCTGATGACTTACCTAAGCTCTTGGCTAATGGTGGGATCTGGGAGGTGGTCTTCTGCCTTCTGATGTTTGTATCTGAATATACATAGAAACCCAGGCTGGTAGCTTCTGGTTGGTTTACTGTGATCTCTTTTAAGATAGAATTACCTGTGACTTGAATCAAAACTTCCCGTGGTCACAGGTGAATAACTGCAGGATCTTGAGGAGCCTCCTCCATACTTGCTAAGGTGTGGTTTAAGGATCCAGTATGTGAGATCAGTTCAGTGTTAGACCTGCAGAATGTTTGGGTGCAGACCCTGTGCCCTAGCTCGGTGCTTAGCAGGGTGCTGGAGCAGGCTGTTAACATCCATCCCAGTGGGCAAAAAGCTGGTTTAGGCAGTTCTCTGTGGTAAGGGGCTCTTGGAGCCCCAGCACCCCTTTTCATCCTGTGCTGTGACACCATTCCTCTTTGAGAGCAGGCCTGTCCAGGGAAAGACAGCAACCTGCATTGTGTACCATGCTGCACTGGCCAGACACTGCTGGTGCTGCAGTCTGTATCATTCAGATCTTCCAGACACAAGCCTGACTGCTGCATGTGAATCCCTGCCTGTCAGTGGGGTACCTTTCTACTGCTTGTCATCTTGGTTGAGGGATTAAAAGCTTCATTTGTTTGTTTTATCCTCTGTCTGTATCAGCTATACCCAGCAAGGCAGATTCCTGACTCCAGCTACAAGTTTTAAGGTGCAGGTATAAATGTCAGGATGAAAACCTCCTGCAAATACCTGTTCCAGGTAGTTGTGTTTGCTGCCAGCTACTTAAATGTGACAAATCTGATACTTCAGTTGCTTCTAACAAATTCTTTAAAATGTCTGTCTCCTAATGGGGAACAGCTGGGTGAAAGGTTTAGTTAAGCATTTTCTGGTTCTGTAGCAGATGAGAAATGCTTTAATACTTGCAAAGCACTGCATTAAGTGTGCGTGGCATTATGGTAATTGGAGGATCTGGCTTTAGAAGATAAAGCAGGCAGGTTTGGAATATCACTTGGTAGGCTGCTATCTTAGTGTAAGCTGTTATCACACTAACTCATGGCAGGGTATTAACTTGTCAGAGCTGCTGTAGAGGTCCTTCAGGAGATGTCCTCAAAGCACCCTTTGGATTTAGGTGCATCGGTATTAAATCAGCAGGATTTAACCTCCTAAATCTTCAGTGTCTTTCAAAAGCTTCCTTTTTTATGTGTAACATGCCAGGGTAGGGCACAGGAGTCAGCTTATGGGCACACAAATGAGTTGCTGCCTTGTAAGTCAGGACATAAAGTAGTAGGTAGATCATTTACTTTGCAGTAACAAGTGATGCTTATACTTTTATTTGGAGGAGGTGTATTGGTTCTACCTGTAGCTTATCTGAAGGAGAGCATGTTTGTTAGTGGTGTCTGGCAGGTGTAGGACAGTTACCATTAACTACTCGTTAAGGAGACTTCCAGGCCAGCTCTGTAGCAATACGTGCTTGTCCCAAATCCAGCCTTGATCCTCTCTGTGGCTCTGCTAGTGATTGTGCTGATGAGGCAAAGTCATGTTGGGGTACATCACTGTCCCAGTGAGATTTCCTTATCTCCCCCCTTTTCTCCTTGTGCTGCAGGAGTTCCGGACATGGCTGAGGGAAGAGTGGGGCCGGACTCTGGAAGACATCTTCCATGAGCACATGCAAGAGCTCATCTTGATGAAGTTCATCTATACCAGTCAATATGAGTAAGGGCACCAGCTTCTTCTATGTGCTGGGGCTGCTGCAGCCTCAAGAGCACATGGGATCCTTTCTTCTGGAGAACATGTCAAAGGGTTCTCTCTAACTCTCTAACCTTGTGTGTTTTGCACAGCAACTGCCTGACGTACCGACGCATCTACCTCCCCCCTAGCAGCCCTGATGACCTTATAAAGCCAGGTCTCTTCAAAGGAACCTATGGGAGCCACGGGCTGGAGATTGTCATGTTAAGCTTTCATGGAAAGAAAGCAAAGGGGACTAAAATCACTGTAAGGGCATTTTCCTTTCTCTCAGATGCTTATTAAAGTGTTCTTGCTGCCATGGATTCATAGGAGAGAGAGCTCTCTCTGGGAGGTAGTCAGTTGTTGCCACACCAAACCCTGTTTCTCCTGCAGATTGGTGGCATCAAGTGAATCTTTATATGTGCAGAGTAGCTAGAACCTGCTTTGCAAGGTTTCTCATTATGCCACCTTGTTCTCCCTTCCTCCTGCTTCCTGTGAGCAGGTCACTGGTGGTCATTCACATTTATCTGACCACATGTTGGCAGCTCTTCACTAAAACCAGGCTAGTGAGCTCCTTCCTCCCTGCAGGGAGGGATTCTGACAAAATTCAGTTGCAGCTTTGACTTTCTTTCACTCTTGCAAGTACAGCCTGGTTTGTAGCTTTTGTTTAAACATTCTGTCTGGTGGGGGAAAGCAGAGGTGGCATAGCTCAGGGAATAATGATCAAGGTCTGAGGGTTTGTTTTTTTTTTTTGTTGCAAACTTTGGTGATTGGAAGTCAGATGGTGGATGGGAGGAGGATACAGGTCTGAACTCTGCAGCTGTGCTGTTGCTTCCTGTCTCTAGGGAGATCCCAACATCCCAGCTGGACAGCAGACTGTGGAGATCGACCTGGCACATCCTCTGCAGCTGCCTGACATCGAGAACCTCCGTGATTTCAGTGAGCTGTCCCGCATTGTCCTGGAGGTGCAGGAGCAGGTGCGGCGGGAGGAGCAGGAGGAGGAGCACGGGCAGGAGGAAGAGGACAACTCCCCACAGCCTGCATCCCAGCCTGCTGCAGTGCCCCTGGGAGGAGAAGGTGCTGAGGGGGAAGAGACTGTGGCTGGGGCACAGGGGACAACCCAGGACAAGGCACCAGCTTCCCAGCCCTTCGTGCTGCCCATGGGAGTCATATCCAGGAATGAAGACTATCCCCGGACCTGCCGAATTTGGTAACAGGGACTAGTGGTTTTACAGCCTAGTGCCAGTCACCTTTTGAAACAGAAGGGGGGGGGAGTGGGCAACTCTGAGGAATGTTCTGTATTTTCTTGTCCTATACCTGTGTGCAGGTCTCCCAGCCCCCTGTGCTCAGATTTTCTGTTGCTGCTGCACTGTCTCCCATACTCTTGTTTGCTCACTGTTTCTTAACACACTGTCACCTGCTATCCTGCTTCCTTGTTAGATTTTATCCTCTTACTGTGAAGCTAGCACCTCTTCTGTATCCACCCCCTCTTTTCTTTGTGTTTTGTTTCCTAGAGCTGCCCAGCATATGTATATTTAGAGAGCAGTTCAAGCCACTTCCCATTTCTCTGTGTCACTTGTATCCCTTAACTGTGGGAACATGGTGTTCTCTGCCACCCCTCCCTGGCCTCTGATGCCTTGGGGCTAGCTCTGGAAGGTGCTGAGCACCCTAAGCAGTAGGTGAAAGTATGCAGAGCCTTGTTGAATGGGACCTGCAGTCAGTGAAGCAGCATACTAAATGGAGTGTGGAAAACAGAGCCCAAAAGCTGAGGCTTAGGCAGGTGACCTTCAGCCAAACATGTGTGCTCATGGAAAAACCTACCAGTTTATCCCAGAAGGCTCCTGCTGTCACAACTGAGTTGTATCTGAATAAAACCCTGCTCCACCTGCTGCCCGCTTGGAGGTTACACCGACCTTTCCTGCTCCCTTGCTCCAGTGAGATTTTTCTTTTCTTAGATTTTTTGCTTTCTCTTGCCTCCCCTAGGTTTTGTTGCAAGGTTTGCCTTTGGTCACCCTCTCAACCTGCTTTTCTTTTTCTTTGAGGATTATCTGGGCCTGAGTTGATCCTTGAGTTGCAGAAGTAAATCTCAGAGGGATGACTGGGCTAAACTGCAGAAAAATGCAGCTTTGATGTGCATCTGCTAATTAGAACACCCAAAAGCAGCAACCTCCAAATAGCAGTGGAGCTTTTCTTCTCTTAAAAAACAGCATCAGCAGTGTTCATAAGAGCTGAGTAAACGTAAAGCTCCCTGTTCTGTAGCACCTGGCAGCACGTTTGACAACGGCTTTGAGCACAGCTCTGTGCTTTTGTTTTTATGATTATCTGTTGGGTAATGATGGCTCCTCTCACCTCTTTTATTTTGCTCTTCTCTCCTTGCAGTTTCTATGGGACAGGGCTCATTGCTGGGCACGGCTTCACCAGCCCCGAGCGCACCCCGGGGGTCTTTGTGCTCTTCGATGATGATCGCTTTGGGTTCATCTGGCTGGAGCTCAAGTCCTTCAGCCTTTACAGCAGGATCAAGGTCTCCTTCCAGAATGCCCAAGCACCTTCCCGTGAGGCTTTTGATGAGATGCTGAAGAACATTCAGTCACTGGCTACTTGATGGGTCGGTTGTGATGGACAGGGCTAGGGGTTGCAAAGGCTGCTGCACTCCCCAGCCAGAGCTGGGATGGGGATTCCTTGCTCTTGGTACCTCTGAATTAAAGCATGCACTTTTAATAAAGCCTTTTTACCCCAAATGTACACATCCCAGTTAAAATATCCAGGACTGCCCTTTCCTCCCTGCCACCCTACACTGCTCCCTAGCAGCCCTTGTCACCCAGTCTGTAAGGTAGCTTTGTGTGGCTGAAGGGATCCTGCAGAGGAGGAAACACAGACCCTTCTTCTAGCAAAAAGAATGTTTTGGAACAAAAATAATGAGGTCAGAGCTGGGTCAGGAGAACATCTCCTTTACTGGATGGACACAAGTCCTCTGCTCTGACCATTAGTCTCCCATGGAAGGAGCTCTTTGTGGAAGGGACTGGTTGAAGCCTTTGCTTTACTCTAGGCCCATGTGTCCTCCTGGGAGACTTGCTTAACCCTCTTGAACACCCGTGCAGTCCCCACTGCAGACTGGCTGCTTCATGTTAAATTGCATCAGCAGTGACAAAGCATGTCCTCCTCTCCAGAAACCTTTCTCAGGGTGCAGCATCACCAAGAGAGGCTGGTGTGATACCTGTTTCCTTGGCTTAGTCATTGGAGTGGGTGATTTCCTTTTGAGAAATTCCTTCAGGTTGGTAGCGAGGGGAGGATTCCCCTTGGGAATGGCTGTGTAGTGTTGTTGTGGCTTCTGAAGCTTGGTGGCTGTGCTGTCCCCTGGAGCTTCAGGTCTGTGTGTCTCCCTGAGTGTAGAGATGATTCTTCTTTCTTGCAGGAGCTGGCTGTGGAACTGGATGTGAGTGTAAACTGCACAAGCTGGTGTGTTCAGAATTTGTTTTACTACCTGAAAGATTCACCTCAGATCTTTTAAACTTGGCCTGAAAATGTAAAGTAAGGAGAAAAAACAAAAGTAACTGAAATAAGCCCACATGCAGCTTCCTGGCTTCTGTCTGATGGGCAGCAGAAGGTGCCATGTGTCACTGGTACTGATGTGACCCTATTGATGTGTCATTCTTGGATCAGGTTGCTCTGTGCAGTCTGAAGGAGCAGGGAGGGATTCTTCTAATATTGCTGCAGCCTGGTTTGGCACCTTTTATGGTTGGTGCTGACAAGTGGGAGCTGTTCTCCACTCACAGGACCCTTCTGTTCCCTTTGTAGTCACACTTGTTTCATCCCAGATGATCATTGCTTCCACAGAAAGCTGGGCTTGATTTCTTTCTGTGATACTTGTGTTCTGGCAGATCTGGGCTCCCATGAGAATTGTGGGCTGCAGGTGAGGAAGCAGATTCCCCATAGACTCTCCTGTGTGGGAGAATCCAGTGCTAATCTACAGACTGTGACTTGTGCTAAAAACCATCTCAGCATTTGCTTCAGTGTGTTACTAATCTTGTGTAGGAAGAGATGCTCTGAGCCTTGTGTGGAGAGGAAAGACATTTGTAAGGAAGCTCTTGGTTCCAGGCAAAGTGCATCCTTTGCTGCAGTTGCTCCCTGGCTGTGATGATGAACTCCAGGTTTCTTCTCTCCCTGCTTACCAGCTGGATCAGTGTCTAACAAAACTGCCTTTGTCTTCTGCAGGTTCTAGTTTGTAAATGTGTGGGTATATGTGTTGTGTTGGGAGCGTTCAGGCCCCTTCTGTAGAGAAGTTTCAGTCACTGCCTAGTTCCACTGACTGTGAGCAGCTTTTATTCTCACTCTCACAAGGGCTTTTTGCCATTTCTGGCTCTTGAGTGTTCCCTCAAGCTGTGTGAGAACTCAATCTCCAGCAGAGACTGAGCAGAAGGTCACGTCACTCACAGGATTAATTCCTGTCTCTTTGGATATAGTTTTAAAAACCTCTTAGTATTTGAAGGTGAATTGGGGCATTTTTCTCTCTTTTCTACTGCTTTGTCAGTAGTGGAAAACCTGTCTCTGTGTTAGAGGTTAGGATCTGAAGTGCTATTACTGTTCCAGTGAATAAGCTCTAAAAAGTAGGTTGTTTCTGAGCAGCCTGTTAGAGGTGTTCCTGTCAGCATCAGCAGAGGGAAGAGCTGGCTTGGATCTCACCCTATCATGCAGGGCTGGGAGAGGGGAAGGGTGGCAGTTCTCTGAGCCCTGGTGTGTGGGCAGGGAGGTGAGTTGAAGCTAAAATGGGTGTCTTGGCCTTTTGCTGCAGCTGCTGAGCTGTGTGCAGGAGAGCATGGGCTTCATCTTGCAGGCAAAGATTTCCAGCTTGATCCTGCAGGTTTCTGGGATACCCAGAGGCATTTAGGAGTCTGTTTGGCATCTAGGGGGCCAGTTCATCTTGGAGCTTGCAGTTAAGGCTGGTGCAGCCTATTGGTGCAACATATTTGTTGGCTGCTTTGTATTCTCCCTAACAGCATAAAGGGGTGGGTGAGGGCCCCTCGGGCAGTTCTTTTCAATCAGTTGCCCTTATAACCGGCTCTGCTTCAGCTGCAAATGGATCTACAGTTCTGACTGTGGGTTCCTCCTTCCTTCCATGTCCCTCATTCACCTGAAAAAAATAAAAATCCTGACTGCATAGTTACTGCTTTTTGTTTTTGAAGTAAGATTGAAAGTCCAGACTGTATTGACTGCATGACAAGCACCTGTCCTGAGACTTGAGTCACTGTCTCCTAAGTACAGATGCTGACTTTGCAGCTGGTCTCTTCCCTGTAACCCGCTGTATTGGGCTGAGTGTGTAAAAGGGAGTGTAGGTGTGTTCTGCTGCTGTGTCATAATATGCTTTTAGAAGTTTTTACCTGTAGCTTAAGTCCCCTTGAGACAGGAGTCTGCTGGGGAAAGCAAACCCATGGGTAGCAGATGGCAGGAGTGTTCTGCTCAGTGCTGAATGCAGGTCAGCTTTGTCACTTGGGGGAGGACCTGCTTGGCTGTTGGCACAGGTTGTGCATCTGATGTTCTCTAGGCTGGGGCAGTTCCTCTGCTCAAAGCTTGTCCTTTCCAAACCTTTTCAGTGTCACTGTTGAGGGTCTCCTGACCTGCTTGGCTGGCTGGAGAGTAAGTAGGGCTTTGCAGAGGCTGTGTGCCCTGCAGGAACTTCTCACAGCTCAGCTTTACCCCTGTAGTAGAATCTACAGGGAAGCTGGGGACTTTTTATGAGGACATGGACTGATAGGAGGAGGGGGAATGGTTCCAAGCTGAAAGAGGGGAGATTTAAAAGAGGTGTTAAGAATTGTCTCCTGTGAGGGTGGTGAGACACTGCCCTGGGTTGCCCAGGGACGCTGTGGCTGCCCCATCCCTGGAAGTGTTCAGAGCCAGGTTTAATGGGGCTTTGAGCAACCTGGTCTGGTGGGAGGTGTCCCTGCCCATGGCAGGGGTTTGGAACTAGGTGATCTTTAAGGCCCCTTCCAAGCCAAACCAGTCTGTGACTCTGTGATCACTTTATTTCTAGCGTACCTGATTGGCCTCAAAACGTCAGAACGTGCTAGTCCTGATTAAAGGCAAAACTGCTGATACACTTTATTGGTTTTATTCTGTCTAGAGTAAAGGCAATCAAAATAGCAAATTTTGAATTAATATTAATCCTCTGCCTTCTCGCCTCCTGCTCCTCAAAGCCTGCAGGCTTTTCTGGCATTTCAGAAGAAAATTCCTTCTGACTTGGCTTAGGGTGAGGAAAGCTGCTAAGGCAGTGAATTTGGAGAGCCTGGCACCCTGGTCTGGGTGCTCCTGTGCCTTTGCTGGTTCCTTTGTGCATGGCTACATCAGTGCTTGCAGAGCAAAGCTGAATAACACAATGAGGAATTATAACTTCCAGCTCTGAAATCTTTGGAAGTGGGGAGGGAGCAAGAGGAGTGCAGCCAGATTGGCTGGCAGGATCTGAGCATGGACTGTGGTGAGAGAGGTGGGAATGCAGCTCCAGTCTTGCTTTCTCTGGTGGTTCCTGTGGGGAGCAGTGCTGAATGCAGGCAGCATTGTGCTGTATCTTGCTTCTTTCCTGAACCCCAGTTGTCCAGCTCATTGGGATATTTCAGAAGAGCTGTTGACAGGGATAATGTGAGGTGGTGCCTTGAAGATGGTGATAAATTTGATTCTGAGAATCGGGTGGAAAGTGCTGGGGAAGAGAGAAAACAACTTGTCAGGGCTAGGAATACTCTCTGGGCAGAAACTTCATGGAATAAACAAAGCACGTGCAATTAGGCTGCAGAGCAGCGTTGCCCCAATAGCCACAGCAAGACCTAGGGATTAATTTTAGCTCAGGAGCAATAAGCAAGTGACTGGCTCGTGTGCTGGGGCTGTGTTGTGCTCCTAGATCACGCTGTCTGTGTTGTCAAAACACATGGGTTTGGCCAGCTGGAAAACAGAAGCCTCAAAGATCCTTATCCAGCCGGTTTGTTTGTTTGCCTTGGGCCTGATTTCATAGCTATAAATGTGCTGTGATGGGGTGTTGTGGTTGTAGGGAGACTCACTGCAGTCCTCGTGGGCTTGTCAGGCTTTTTTGGTTTGTTGTTTTTTTTTTTTTATATGGAGGAGGAGTAAAAGGGATGGAATTACTTGTAACTTTGGCTGTCAGCTTCTCTCTGGAGTGAGAGCTGTGTGGGACTGCCATGGCTCCTCTGGAATGGGACAGCAGAGGTCAGATGGCAATTATTTAGGTCACTTTCTACTGGGGAGAAAGCAAATTTATGTGCAAGCTTGCTTGGAGGTGTAAGCTACCAGGAAAATAAACAAAATGCAGCTGGCTCCATGTTTACTTTTAAACAAGGATGACTTTTGATTGCTTTTTATTAATTTAAAACTAGTGGAACTTAATGAGAGTGTTGGATGTTGTGTGGAAATGGGTTGTATAATCTCGACTTGCTAGTTTAGGAAATGATAACATATTAACTCTGTCTCATAGCTGGTTGCTCAAGTGGCCAATCATCTTCTGCTGTGTTCAGCTGCCAAAGGACTGTGTGCTGGCCTTGGCACTGTGGGCCAGCCAGACAGCACAGCTCACCAGTTGGACAGGGAAATGTTTGAGATGTGTGATCAGGCAGCAGAATGGGAAATAAGTCACCAAACTGTGAGTGCCACTGCCTTGTTTTTTTTGGTGTGTGCTAAATTAACACCTATGGTTCTGGTTTTTGTTTGGACTGCAGTCTTTTTGATTTTTGCAGAGAAG